CCTACCTTATCTAGTAAGTTTTTAAAATTTATTTTAATAGTAATGTTTATATCCTCATTGAGCATTGTGTTACATTAATTGCTCTGAGCTTTTATTTTTCCTTGAAAGCATTAAGTATCTACGGTGAAACACAAACAGCTTGTTGATCCTCAGTTATTTGATCTATATGCAGGACAATGGATGAAAACTTTACAATTGTGATGCCTAAGACACAGGCTGAATCAATATTCAGCATGACAGAAGGAATTTGGTCAAGGAAACACATGCTGGAGAGCTAGAAAGCCTCTCTGAATAGGTATCCAGGACAGGGTTCCTAAATCTTTTGTCCTTAGCTTCCTAGGCAGCTATTTTCTTCCCCTTTTCCCTAGATATCTGTTTACTACATTATTTTCTGTATTTCAAAACTCTTCTTTCAGTAGTAGTAGATACTTCCAAATGGACAGGAAACTCTCCCTCTTAGCATTCCTTCTCTAATATCAGTTGAAGGCAATCTAAAAACCAGTCATTGCGTCTCTTGCCTCTCATTTACTGTAACATCCTCCCACATGCTCTGACAAATCTTTTCACAAAAATTGTATACTTTTCAGATATTCTTAAGAATCAGGAAATTGCACTATATGAGTTTCTCATTCCCTTTTTTAATGTCCTCAGGGACTTCTCTTTACTAATTTATAACACAAAGTGGTCTAGTCTTCACTGTATGATCCTCATTAAGCTACTAAACCAAGCCTTTTTATTCTCATATACTGCTAAAGCATGAACTGTCATTTCTATTATGACAATAATACTAACCTCAATTTCTATTTCTTGTATTTAAAAAAAACCACCATATTGTGCTGTCTTCTATCCAGTCTGCTATTTTTGAAAAGACAGACAATCACAGGACTGTTTTAGTGTCTTACTCCAAATCTCACTATGGAAGTCTTGACATCTCAAGCATGTAGCATGAGCACCATAAAAGTAGATTTTTCGCAACTATTTTCTTGTACTCTACTCTGATGTATCCTGTTTTCACTTATTTTCGCCAAGTACATTACATTTTTGTGCATCTACTGCTGTTGTCCTGGATGAACAAAATAATTTAGCCAATCACCTACCATGAGCTGACATGATGTTGTGCTTTAAAAATTCATTTTGGCAAATCTCTGAGCCTGTTGTTCATTCAGTTTCTTGCCCTCTGAGTTAGTTAGATATTTCTGGCAACCAGTCTATGTCTTGAATTATTTTATATTATTTTATATTATTTACATATAATATCTGAAATAAAGCCTAGCTGCATAACCTCATCTTCTCATGCAGTAATTGATGCCTTTCAACTTAATACATGCAAAGAGATCACACAGAAATTTCATTATGAAAAAGCCTCTTGGACATGGAAAACTGTTTTATACTTGCTGAACACTTAAGTTTCTTGTTAAGGAAGGTTTGGTTACACCAGATTAAGTATGTGACCTGAAATCAGTTTTTTAATTACCCCATGCAAAGCTGGACATTTGTGTCATTTCTCTATCTTCATTTTCCACCTGTTCTTCTCAGTAGAAGCTGGGGAAATGCACTAAGCTACATACCAAAGTGCACATGCTACCTAACTGTGTTTGTATATCCTGCTATATGCATTGCCTGATAATCCATTCACAGGTATGATGTCACTTATTTAGTTTTCATAGCAACTTGGAAAATATCTTGCAGAGAATGAAGAGATGGTAACAAAAATGAGGCATGGGTTGCTTTTTTGAAAAACCATTTTTGAATGAACAGGACGGCATACGTCTCAGAGAGATCATATTCCTTTACAAAAACAGATTAAAACTACCTGGAGTCTCTTCCCACTTTGATGCCACTGTGTTCTATGAGGAACAGTGCAGCATAAACCATGGACTAAGTGAATGGAGGGAAATGGAAGAGAAAGCACCACAGACACGAAAGAAAAGCAAAAAAACCAGACATTTTGCTAGTGATTTCAGATAGTAGTTGTTTGTGATATGTTTGAGTCTAACTAATGTATTGGATAAGAACCCCTTAGGGCAAGTGTTAGTGCACATTTCATTTTGATGAAAAAAATCATAAATGTGGTAAGATTTGGTTTAACTCTACCATTGAATAATGCAACCTCACATTTTCTTAAATGAACATACCAGCTTAAATCAACATATCAGTACACAAAGAACAAGGTACCCAAAGCATATACTCAATCTTCTGTAAACTGGCCATTTAGGAAGACAGATTCTTTATAGTATGCTACTGTCTGCTGTGACAGTTCTTCCAACTTTTTATGTGAACTTGGGTACTTTTCTTCCTTAAGGATGGGCTATCTGAAAAGATGGACCATTGAAACACTGACAAATGGAAGTCCTCATGCTTTTAAGAAAGTTTTCCTGAAAATTGAATGAAAGGTTCAAAAACTGTCAATTTATGAACCACAGAAGAAAAATATTTCATAACTACCTCCCCCCTCAGATTTCACCAAGAAGACTGAGATGCTAACTCTGGATTTCTAACATGGCAAATGTCTACAAGGAGCTTTTTCCTGTGGACAGTGTTTTGTCCTTATTGCAAACTTGAGGCAGTAAAGGACTATGTTCCAACAAATTTCTTAAGAGTACCTGTAGTGAGTTGGCAACAAATCCAGTGTGGTTTGAATGAGAAGAGTGTACATATCTCTTACAGTCAAGCTAACTTTGCTGCCTGCAGGGGTAAGTCATCCTTCTATTACTTCTGCCTAGATCTGGAGGACTGGCACATACTGTTTTAGCTAGGAACACTGTGTCTTATTTCAAATATATTTTTCCAAATTTACTGGTATCAATGTGGAACCTTTTTTTCCGCCATCTTGCAAGATGTGTCATTTAGATTCTTGAATGGAATAATGGAAAGAACCTGTTCAGCAACAAAAACAGATTAGAACCCTGGTTTAGTTTATCACAATACTTCTAAACAATTTCAGTCTATGATACCCAGGACTATATTCAATCAAGCTGATCTTTGGGATGCAGACTTACAAGCTTTGTTTTATGGAAACAGTGTGTGCACTCAGATTTTAAAACATTCCAGAATCTCTAAAGAGTCCAGATTGTTCTTAACATTCATGCCAAACTATCAACAATTTAAGAAATGGTTGCCAAAGGTCATTCCAGCTACAGCTGTTTGGAAGTGCAAAGGGCTTTATTGATCTTTTCCCTTGCATAGCTCTTTAAAAAAATATTATTACATCACAGAAATAAAGACCATGACAGATGTTGATAATGACTTGGTCATAAGGGGTGGAGGAGAACAGGAAGGGGGAGCTAATCAGCTTTGGGTTGAGGGTGAAAGACTCCACTACAATGCTATTGTTAGGTCCCTGTGTGGTAATACTGCTCTCATGATGTGACTTTGACCTGGCACTGTACTTGTCTCCCAACAAATTAGGGAAGCTGGCTCAGCTGGTTGGGAAAGAAATCATTAGGCATGGCACTTTAGGTGGCACAAATTTCACAGCTCCAAAGCAATCTGGAGTCCTCCCAGAAACATGGGTATCATATTCAAACAACTCACTAACCCCAGAGGCCAGCTCTGACTGCTCTTATGAAGTACTGTGAATCATGATCTTTAGGAAAACTAAATGGCTGAGATCCAATTTAGCAGCTGGATTATATTAGTTCACATTTTTAAGGACAAAGGTTATAATAACAAGATCTTGCGTTACCCAATTGACTCAATTTACTCAATTAGGTAACATAGTTACCTTAATGGTTCTGTAATAGTTTGCTGGTGTTAGGAACAATGTAATTTCTTTCTTCTAGGTAATACAGAAGAGGAGAATTTCATAGATGAAGGCAGACTACTAGAAAATAGGCAGTTGGGATAAGAGAGAAGGCATGGTAGGCACACTGTTGCTGAGAAGTTAGGAGAAATGACAACAGACATTAATGATAGAGATGCAGTCTGAGTCAGAGTACTTCAGGGCCTTGAAAGCATAAGCGAGAAGTTTAAACCTGATACACCAGGCAAAAGAAAACAGAGAACACAAAAGACAAGTGTGTGTGTGTTAATACACACATGCACTTGCATGATGTACATGTTTAGAGAACTTAAGACTGAAACAATGGAATTTTTTTGCCTGCCCAACACTCCACAACATTGCATTTTCTATGGGACAACATTTGTGAATCTCATAACAGACTATTAAGCAAGAAAATTTATTTCAGCTTTCAGATTGTTAAGGTTGTTCTTATTTCTAATGTACAGTGATATACCTTGGTATTGAGAAATTTTAGTTGCATACAGTTCACATTAATGTAGCAGACAGAATCTGGCTTATAAACTGTAAAAGTGGTTAAAAACATTTTAAGGTATAAGCTACTTTATCCACAGACCTGCAAGTTTCTAGAAAGCACTTACCTTGATATGTCTAAAAACCATAACATTTAATGGATGCTTTTTCATGCAAATAGATTCTGCTTAGTAGCAGAATAAGAGGTAGAAGGCTGGTGGACTGTTTTGAAGTGTGAAAAAGAGCCCTATGTTTGTTTTTTTCGAGGCTGAACTCTTAATTCCTCACCCTGCTGCTCATGCAACTTGGGCCAACCAAAACTCACACAGCCCGAAGAGCTGCCAAGAGCCCTTATCAAAGCTTGTAGCAGCTTCTCACGCGATTTATGGAGTCTCAAATACTCTAATACACACACATGCATATCCCCCCCTCCACCGAGCGGAGCTGTAGCTGGGACCCGTTCTTGGGAAGACACAGCGAGCCGGTCCTCTCCGGAAAGTCCGGGAGTGAGAAGAGGGCATGAATCTGGTCTCCACTCTGGTTCTTGATCTCTGGGGTTCATCCAGGCACTCGGGAGAACGATTTAATGACCCGCTCCGCCCCTACTCCCCCCGCCCAGGCAGCTCCGGGCGGCTTTCGGTCACACGAGAAGGGAGTGGGGGGGAATGAGCCACAGCGGCGGCTCCCCCCTCACAGGAGGGGGAGGAGGAAAGGAGGGAGGGCAGGAGGGAGGGAGAAAGGAAAGCGGGCAGGTGACACCGCGCTGGGTTGCTCGGGCTCGGCGGGCGCGGGGCGGGCGGCAGGAGCGCGGCGGCCATGCACGTCAATGGGAAGGTGGCTCTGGTCACCGGCGGGGCGCAGGGCATCGGACGGGCTTTCGTACAGGCGCTGCTGGGCAAGGGCGCCAAGGTAAGTCTCGGGAAGCGCGCCATCCCTCCCCTTCCCTCCCCTCCCCTCTGCCTCCAGCCAGCACCCACGGGCGCGAGGTGGCGGCAGCCCCCGGGGCTCGGCTCGGCTCGGCGGGGGACCCGTCCTTCTGTCCATCCGCCCGCCCGCCACTCGTTTTCCTCCCTCCCCGCTCAGGTAGCCCTCCTGGACCGCAACTCCGAGGCCGGACAGGAGAGCAAGGCGGCTCTGGACGAACAGTTTGAAGCGCAGAGGACGGTGTTCATCCAGTGTGACGTGACGGATCAGGAGCAGCTGAAAGGTAGGGAAATTCAGCGCTGCGCTCCGGTGTAAAGCGCAGCGACCGGAGCGAGCCCGGTCTGCCGCACCGGTAAGAGTGCACCGAAAGGTTCTGGGGGACAGCCTGCTCCCGACCGCTTCTGACAGTGACTCAAAAAGGATTTGTTTCCGAACCTGCAGATGTGAAATATTACTACCACAATTTCACCCTTTTCCTTTGCACATGGGAAAGAAAAGCCAAAGAAATCCTTTCTATTGAGATTTTGTGTGTGATATTTTTGCATTAAAGCCTCTGTAGAAGATAATTGTTATTTTATGAGTAATATATATAAACTTTAAAGCTCAGACTTGGTTTTTATGAGGCTTCAGTACAGATTCCAAGCTGCATTCCCTCATAATAAATTCTGCGCTGTGTTGCAGTGCTTCTTCCATCCAGCACGCTTACTTTCATTGCATGCTGCCACAGCTGAAAGCAGAACTGCCACAGTTGAAAGCAAAAAATAGCGTGCTACTATACTGTGATGTTATCTGTGGGGTGATAACACCTCACAGACATTTTGCAGATGCAGGGAATGCAAGGAGCTTCCCTCATGAATGATTTGCACTTCTGTTTTCACTTAGTGAAACAGTGTACCCTACTGAGTTCCTAGAATATCATATAATGTTGATGCACACCCTTCACAATATTTCATAACAGGCACATCACTTCATCAAAGGTTCATTATTAAATGATACAATCATAGGTAGTGACTCAGATACAGATTTTGACATCCCTTTTTTCAGCACTCTTTCCCCAGATTAATTTCTGCCAAACTAGATGTGAATATTTTTAGTTCTGTTTTTGTTCGCTAAACTTCACTGGTCACTTTCTCAAGAGTGGTCATTGAGCATATCCATTCCTCTTTTAGAAAACATTACAGTTATTCCAGAATTCAGCGATATTGTTTACAGTTCCAAGCTAGCATGACTATGCCTAAGTCCATAGCTTTACAGGGCCTGTCTGTAAGAGAGATGCTGGACTTTAAATATGAGATCTTCTCTAATCAGCAAACAAAGTCTTTATCAGCTAGGTTGATTATTGACTGTTTCTCCAAGTGGGAGGAGTAACCTAGGAGCAAGAAAAAGCATCCTAGGGGTAGGAGTAACATCTGCTGTAGCAGTGTGCCTTCTCTCCCACTATTCCTCCTTTCTTTAGTGCCAGGGTAGTGCAGGACCAATAGGGTGTGAACTGGGAGCTGGAGTGAGCAGAATGGGTCAGGAAGGGAGGTGTTAGAACCAAATTAGTAGGAAAAGAGTAGGATTGGAATGGGCTCTCACAAACAGAAAGAGCAGCTGTTGTATATGCTTCTCTGATAATCATATTAATCCTGCTGTACATTTCTTACCATAAATTTGCAACCATGTCTTACAATCTTTTTGGGTTTCTGTGTTGGTTTTGGTTGTGTTTGTTGTTTGGGGGTTTTCTGACTGCTTTATTTTCAATTTTTTTCACTTGTAATTGTATGCTACTTCTTAATGAATTTAGATTAATTTCATACCTAGTATTTAAAGGTCTTATGGGATGAATGAAGCCCTGTATTTTATGTTAAAGGTCATGTGCATGAATGCAGCCTCTTTTTATAACTTTAGCCCTTACAGTAGGAAACAAGTCCCAATACTAGAACTTGTATCTGCAGGTACACAAGGCTTATGGGTAGGAAATCAGCTGCTTCATCTACTTTCAAGTCTTACCTGTACTCTCTTCTCTGGTGGTTCTTTCAGTCTCCTATAAAAGTCTTCTATTTTGTCCTACTTTTGAAAAATCACCATACATTTACTTTTGCTTTCCAAGGATATCTAAGAAGCTCCTCTATAACTGCTGTTTGTGCTTGGTTTCCACTGTTTTTCTTACTTTTCCTTTAAAATGGAAACTCCTCTTCATTTTTATTTCTTCACTCAGTGTTTCATATGATCATCTGCTTTTAATTTTTATGGTTCCATAAGCACTAACTAGCGTGCAATGTAAAGGAATTGTTCTACATTTGAAAAGGTAAAAACAAGTCAGCTTATACTGATGTGTGAGAACTTTACTAAGAATTTACAGTGAGTTTCTTCTTTTTGGGGATAGGTAAGAGATGGGATTACTGTAGACAAACTTTTACCAGAAATATTCCAAACATACATATGAAAACAGCTGAAAAGCATTTGGCTCTTTTCTCAATGGGTAAACTAGAAAACTACAGTCAGTCCGTGAATCTAATAAACAAATAATTAGCAAAATTACTATTATCCCTGGTGGGTTTTGAAGGCAAAAGATTCTATTAAGAATTCGGCTGATGAAAGATGTTATTTAGAGAAGGCCTAAGAGGGAATCATCCGGTTTCCAAAATTTGGAAGTTAATTGAGGACCCAAATGGTATTTATTTTACTCATTGAAATTAACTTAAATACTCAGTTCTGCTCGTAATAAAGCCAAAGGTTTCCATTTACCCTTGTTGATGCAGGATTGGTGAGATGAAAAGTGATTAAAGAGTTAAGTTGAGAAAAGAGAGAAAGAATTAGCAACAAACATAAGAAAAGCCAAAAAGGCAGACAGCCAAAGCTAGAGGATTTAGTAATATTACAATATTCTAGTATGGAATAAGAATATTAGAAAAATCTGTACAATAAAGGCAATTGGACAAATAAAACCATTTCCAAGTACAAGACAGTACTTCAACTGCTGTAAAAATATGTAGGTGTCTGAAAGCTGCTGCTATGCTCCTGAATAGCCAAATACTAAAGATCAGAGAATGAAGATGTTCCTGGGATCATCTTTCAGTGAAATAGTTTCATTAAGACCTATCAAGCATAATTTCAGTACACCTGAATCACTGTAGATTTTCAGTCAGTCATCAATGTTTTTTAAAATAATACTGTGGAGGTGGTGTCTTGGTTTACATAATAATAAATATTTAGTGATAAGAATCAAGGAAAAACCAAACAAGCTATATGTACATGTCAGATAATGTCTTTAGTCCTGGAAAATCTTAGTTTGGAATGAACATCTGGAAGTCATCTCATCCAACTACCCTGTCAAAGCAGAGGCAGGCTTGATGAGTTTGCTCCTCGCTATGACATCATCATGTTTTTCCACAGACATCTTTTATCTCAGTTCTAAACCTTGTCACCTGGGAGAACACAATGTCATTGTGGAAGTTTCCCAGTTCTTTATTTTGAAATTCTTTGGAAGACAGGTCACTACTTTTATCATGAAAATGAAGAAGATTTGAATTTGAGAAACAGATTATTAAAGTTAGCCGACAAGAAAGATGTATTACATTGTGTCCATAAATATATACATTTAAACAAGAATAATGATTAATTATTTGTATTTGAAACATTCATATTCATTATTCATTAAATAAAAATTGGACTGAATGAAGAAAATTATTCTGAACACATGAAGCTTTTTACTTTTCATTTAAAATAGATGGTGTCAAATCTTGAATTCGCTGTGTCAAACTGTTACAAATCAAGCTGTAAATCCTTAATTTACATAATTAGGGTGTCAAACATCCTATCTAATGTAAAATGTATAGATGATAAGAACTTTTATTAGCTCCTCTTATCAGACATCATAAAACTGAATGAAAAGGCAACTATGGTATCTTAATCCTTTCAGTTTCCCTGATTATGTCTAATATTAGTGCATATTAGATAAAGCATTTAACTGCATGTTGCTCATTAGTGGCTAAGAAAACAATGAAGACATTTTGATAGACTAATAAAGCATTAATTTGTACGCATGTACTTTTATGTCTTACTTTCCACAAATGCTAAGAAATTTCACCCTTGGATCTTCCTATAGATGCTTTCAAAAAAGTAATTGAACATTTTGGAAGGCTGGATATTGTGGTTAATAATGCTGGAGTGAACAATGAGAAGGACTGGGAAAGCACTATACAAACTAACTTGGTAAGCATTATCTCCTTTCACATGTTCATATTTAAAGCTGGAATACACCTAACAGCCTTGGCTTGTACAGACTGTGCCATATGACAGAGCATTAATTATCGGATTGGTAAGCACAGCTATTGAAACAATAACCATGTAACTGCATGTGTACTAACCAAAGAAAGGGTGTGTGGTGGGTCCTTTAAACTGTCTGAGACATGCAGCACTGCGTAGAATTACTCAGGCTATCTATCACCAGAAAACGTTCTCTTTCTATAAAACACAATGAAATTCTAAAGAGGAGTAACAATAGACTGCCAAAGCAGTAGAGCTGCATCCACAGCAGGCCCAGTCTCTTTATATGAAGGTTTTAGAACATTTTAGTTACTTGTGAGACTCAGCTGGCCTGCATTAGAGGATAAATTGCCATTTGCCGTTCAACCAAGAGCTCCACATTTTCTTCACCAACAAAGCAACCATATAATCTGAGCCATTTCACCATTGTCACTGGTAGAAGCACACCTCTTAAGAGCACTTACTTGTTAAAACCCAGTACGTTCAACGAGCTTGTAAAATTCATTTTTGAACAGACTATTACCAGTTCTTTGATATAAGAACCACAATATCTGTTTCTCAATTGAATTTTTTTTTTTAATTTAGAGTATATAGCTGGGACATCTAAGCTCCAAAGGAAAGACCAACTTTCTAGGTTAAAAAAATTCTGACCAGCTAGTATTCTACCACCTGTGAAGTCCTAATTCAATGGTGATTCAACAAGTCACCCCATGATCATACTTACTGTAAAGGAAGTAGCAAAAGGAAGCTTTGAAGAGTGAAATGTGAAGATTTCTCATTTGGAATTTGTCAGGCAACAAGAAAGCTCAGAATAAGAAAACTGAGTTTGTTTTTGTCAAAAATTTTGAGGACCAAACTACCTGTCTTTGAATCCTAATGTCTCCATGAAAACAAACTAACAAAACAACCCCAGGACAAGTAAGACAAACTGTATATGAGAGAAGTTACAGAAAAATTAATGTCAAAATAGGTATTTGGGAAAAAAAATTAGGTTTCATACCACCTTTCTCTTGACCTTTTATATCTGTCTATTCTTCACATATTCTTCAAGATTTAAGTACATGTATTTCTTCCTCCTTCTCTAATTTCTACAATGTGCTGAAAAATCAAACATCAGGAAACTTCATATTGTGAAGTAACAGTACTCTGTCATCCTCAGTGATATGCAATAACAATATCTATTAATACAGATCCCTTGAATTTGAAAGAAGACTTTATCTGTGTTCTAGACAACTTATTTCTCTCTATTTTTGTGCCTGGTTTTAACACAAGATATAAGTTACTGTAGACATCCATTCACCTATCAAATTTGCAAACACAGATAGTCATCACTAGAAAAAGCAAAGTCCATGTGGGAAACATATTTGATTGTCACCCACCTTACAGTTTAGCTCAAAAACTAAAGGCACTTCTGATCATGAAATCTTGAAGATATTTACTGTCTGGGTAAATAATGTGGTGTCTTAATAATTTTTCAGTGACAAGAGCTTCAAACAGAAGACATTGAGAACCTCCTGCTGTTTTGCAGACAACACCAAGTTGGGTGGGAGTGTTGATCTGCTGGAGGGTCTCTACAGAGGGATCTGGACAGGCTGGATAGATGAACCAAAGCCAAGTGTCTGGGGTGCAGTCAGGCAAAATGCCCAATCCTCACTTTGTTCTCAACAACCCCATGCAGAACTGCAGGCTGCAGGAAGCATGGATAGAAAGTAGCCCAACGGAAAAGGATCTGGGGGTGTTGGTTGACAGCCAACTGTTTGAACGTGAGCCAGCAGTGTGCCCAGGTGGCCAAGAAGGTCAATGGGCTTTTACCAGAAATGGTGTGACCAGCAGGAGCAGGGCAGTGACTCTCTCTCTGTATTTAGCACTAGTGAGGCTGCACATCAAATTCCATATTCAGTTTGAGCCCCTCAGTACCAGAAAGACATTGAGGTATTGGAGAATATCTGAAGAAGGGCAGCTAAGCTGGCAAAGGGTCTTATAAGGAGCAGCTAAGGGAGCTGGGGTTGTTTGGCCTGGAGGAAAGGAGTCTCAGGGGAGACCTTATCACTTTCTAAAACCACTTGAAAGGAGGTTGTGAGGTGAGGGTCAGCCTCTTCTTCCACGTTAGTGATAGGATGAGGAAATGGTTTGAAGTTGTGCCAGGGGAGGTTAGACTGGATCTTAGGAAACATTTCTTCACCAAAAGTGTTGTCAAGCATTGGAGCAGGCTGCCTAGGGAAGTGGTTGAGTCACCATCTCTGGAGGTATTTAAAAGACCTATAGATAGGGTGCTTGGGGTCACAGTTTAGTGGTGGCCTTGGCAACGCTGGGTTATCAGTTGGATTTGATGTTCTTAAAGGTCTTTTCCAACCTAAACAATTCTAGGATTCTCTTTTTTTTTCTTATTACAAGTGATTGAGCAAAAGCAGACCCTTGCTTCTTGTTGAAAGGAAAAAAATATGTCTGAAATACATGTTTTAAAAATGTCTCTATTTCCCTGATGTGGAATATTTTAAGTATTCTTTGTCTTATTCCTAAGAACAAGAATAATTGCTACAGTCACACATTGTGATACACATAATACACATATTTTTTATTTTAAAAAGGGAAAATAAGCCCTCTACATTCCAGTTGTTGTCTTAGTGATATCATTTATATATTGAAATGACAAATATTCCTTGCCCCAGTTTAAAGTACAAAGTACAAAAGTAGAGCAGTACAGAGCAAGATAAATCAGAACAAACACATCTGGGGTGTGTTCTTTATGGCTAAAACAGTTCACAGAACCGGTTGGTCTTCAAGAATATTTTTAAAGGAGTGTAAGGAAATTCTCTGCTAGTACTACTTGAGAAAGCATGAAGAACAGAAATGAAGAAGCAAGTTCAAAAACTGGGACTTAATTCGCAAGGAAAAAGAGGAAATAAAACACAATTCCTACTTGTATCCATTACAGTTTCCCGAGAGCAAGAAAAGACAACTTAATAAAGATGGGGATGGGGGGTAGAAGGATTATCAACTGCTAAAAAGGTATTTCTCTTGCAGCGTTTTCCACCATTTTGCTCCATTTTGTGCTAAACATCCATATTTTCATTACTTTATAAATATTTCTGTTACTTCCTTTTGTTAAGTATTCCAGAAATACCATCTATTTGTCACCTCAAAACTCCAAAGCTCGCAGTGTGAACTTGATCGATATCAGCTTAATCAACAGCCACTTCAACTGCTCATACCTGTACGAGTGTTCACTCCTGTTACTGTGGTGCAAAAGAAAAAATTCATACAGGAATTCCACTTTAAACAGATATTACCAGTGTAGTTTCAAGAGTTCACCACACACAGACATACTAATGCACAGAATAGCACAGGGGCATATGACACATACGTTCTTATCAAGAGTCCTACCTACAGCCCTCCAGTATAAGAATAGTGTTTATTGCATTCAACTTCATATGAACTTTTACCTTAGGGATCCAAAAATTTTATAATCTGACTTTTTTCTCTTCAAATCCCTAAAGCAAGAAAAGAGCCCACATCTTTATAAGCCTTGAAAATATATGTCAGTTAAACACAATTGGGTATTCTAAGAAATTTCGGTAATTTTATCTTGTGTTGATGATGTAGGCTTTCTGGAACCACTGTAATTAGAGTGACCACTATAACTACAATATCTTTTCTGTGTACAAATGCACTTAGCACATTTTATATTAAAGACAACTCCCCAAATTACATGCAGATTCCCTTTCTATGTTCATGTCACAGGTTTCTGAAAACTGACATAGCTTGCAGTATACAGTTCAATGTAGCAGGACTGGTATCACATTTTCTTGCATTTTAAGTATTACCTTAAACAAAAATTCAGAAGCACTTTATGTGACATTTTGACTACCTCCTTGTTTTATTATACCAAAAAAAATTAATTTTGTAGATATATTTAAACAAATTTCCCAAATGTAATTACACAGATTTATGAAAAAAATTGAATGCAAAATCACAACTATCTCCTGTTTTTGTGATGATTTTGTACACTTTAATACATTCTGGCAAAACTTTAAATTGCAGGCCAGAAATTGGGCACATCAAAAAAGAACCAGTCACATGGGATCCAATTATTTAAGCATTCCCCAGAAAGAAGTAGAATTCAAATGCCTTACTAGACAAAATGTAGCAATACCCAACAATTCCAAGATTTTACGTTTTTTACGGGTTTGCATAAGTTATTTCCATAAATGAGAGAGGTAACAATTTGCATAAATTTAGAAAAGTTACTAAAAGAAGTCTACCAAATTCATGGTTTGTCCCTGCAAAATATTTGGATTGGAACTATAGAGAAGATAATGCAACACTGTATATTTATGTGTGACTCCTTTCAATATAGCTCACGGTGCAATAAATGTTCCAGTAATTAGCAAACCTTGCAAAATCAGTTTGCTCATCAGTAAGGAAATTCCTCAAAAGGGCAGTTAATGTCTTGGCAGAAACCAGAAGGGTAACTAAGTAAACATCAGAAGTGATTAACTGAATTTATTTTTGGGACAAAGACTTCATGATCATCACAAGGCTGTTCCACTGTGCAAGCCATATAAAGGATCCCTTGGGAGCATGCTGCAATCTTCGTCTGGTCCATACACATTGCTTGCCTTTCCCAGTGTACCAGGAGAAATGACAAGGACTGAACTTTCATCCCAAAATAATGTCACCCAGACACATAGCTGGATTCAGCAGCTGGAAATAACCAGTGGATCCCACAACACAGACAAAAGCAAGCACTGTTTCTTAATGCCACCAAACAAACCAAAACAAACTGCTATCTGTAGAAGATAAAATGGTATATGTGACTGGTTTACCACGCTTGCCTTCTAAGACAACTAGAAATTCACTAGCTTAGTTGCCTATTCTTCAGCATAATTTTATATCAGGGGACCAAGTATCTATGGAGAGATGCAGCCAAAAAGAGACACTTCCTTTGAAATTAGTGACATGAGGGTCAATCCTCTAAGTGCATAAAGAAGCATATAGGTATAATTATTTTTGTTGTTCATATTGCATTAGGAAGGACACAGTGACCTACCTTAATCGCACAGTAAGTCAATGAACTTTTTAGCTTACAGTTTTAATGTATGTTTATAGCAACCACAGTTGAAGTACAACGAAAAGCAAATGTCTTTAAACTAAGAACTTAAGCCTAGCTATTCAAAATGCAATGCTATTCAAATGTCCTTCGCGAATAGAGGTGTGTGGAGTGGAAAGGGGGGAAGTAAAGAAAACTACCATAAAAAACCTAAAAGATAGTGTTTCACTCCAACCTTGTAAAAAAAAGCTATGGATTTGCAGCAAATGAACAAATCCTACTGCACGTTCCTTTCTCCTTTTTACCTCTCCCTCCTTAGACTTCTTGTTTTCCACAGTTTGAGCTGGAAATTCAAACTCAAGAGCCTCCAATTTCATTTCATAGAAATTAAATTAACCTCTACATAGCAATGCCAAGGGACTTGCATGCTTGCTACAACTTGTCTACTTCCTAGAAAACATACATTAAAAAAAATCAGTCCCACCTTTCTGTCCAATAGCAAAATGCTAAAATTTTCCATGGGTACCACTAGCAGCACTTAGTTTCAGACTTTTGAACTCTGTCTTACACAGTTTTCAAGGTACTTTAAATGTTTCCTTATAGATAGCCATCAATTTACAACATCACAGTATGAAAGGCAAATGATCTTGGGTCAAATTCCAGCTCTGTGCTAACCTGTTTTATGAAACCACAAGTCCATGGCTCTTTCATTTTTGTTCATTATCTCTAGCACTGAACTATGTTAGCTCAGGAACCTATATAAAATGTTAGGACTGATTACCTTTTTTTCCCTCAAAATTTCATATTGCTGTACCATCTTAATAGCAATACAGTACTTATCTTCAACACTGAAGGTGCTAATACATTTTCTCAGCATGAAATACTAGCATGCATAAGGAGACAGCAGAAGTATCAGACAGAGGTGGAAGGGAAACCTTATTAGATAGGTAAAACTCCTGTTAAATAGCAGAAACTGTGTCAGTTGGAACACCTGCCTTGAAACACTAGAAGAAAGCACTGTGTAGTAAGTTACCTTCAAAGAAATTGTCATTTGCAAAAGATGATGATTAATGATGTTCTGAGTACCATCACTGAAGAACCTTTTTTTCTTCTTTTTTTTTTTAAATGGATAAAGCTAGAATGGAATACAAAGTATGAAAACTGAGTTAGAGGTATAATGTTGGAATGCAAGAATTTGTACACATTGGCTGGCATTGGTTCCCAAAAGAGAAAAAAATGAATTAGTGCTCTATTGAAGACTTGGAGTCTAGTTAGAATCAGAGTTTCAATATATGTTTCCTTTAGAATGATACAATTAAAGCTATACAGCCCTGGGATACATAGAAATGTCAAGAATCAAGGATTTTTTTAAGTTTTATTTCTGACTTTGACACTGATACCTAAATTGCCATTTAAGAAATCATTAAATAAGTTAGCGATTATTGATATGATACTCTCAAAAGCAATTGCAAATGCTCAGAGTATTTGCATAATTATTTTACAATGTTTATCATGCTGTCAGATACCACTTTGAGTTTATTACTTTATAGTACTTCAGAAGGTCTGATCTCTACTTTAAATATGTAATTTATGAAAACTAATGCTCATATTATAACTTTATTGGAAAGAATCCTAAATTTTCCACTGGCACTTGAAGATTAAAATTGCCCTCTTGGGAGACCACTTAGACTTCTAGTGCACCTTGATGGCCTATCTTCATTATGTGCTATAGTAAAACACTGTATATCGGTAAGAAAATAAACAGCAGTGTTGCTAAATCACACAGTTTTCAACAGCTAGAAGGACAGTAATTTAGATTATTTTCTGATTTTAATGATACTAGTTTTCCATAGCCAGGGTCAAAAAAACTGTGTGAGATTCATCTGTCCTAACTCTTGGTTAACCTACATTTAATTACAAATCTGACAACTTTCATACTCTTTGTTCTTGACATGTTTATGAACAACATCCATTCCACTAAATGCAGCTTTAGACAAAGGAACTGTAAAAATTTCAGCTCTGAATTGCTTTCCTGTACAGTTTCTCAGCATATTTTTATCTTAAACCAAGTCAGACAATTTTTTTAATTAGGTAATTTTAAAATTAACTTTCCCAGAATTTCTATTTGCAACAGACAAGCTATGAATTATTGTTGGTTAAGAGCATGGAATTAAATTATTTTAGAAGTTCAATTAGAGAACTACACAATCTGAAGAGACCTTCAGTTTCTTTCAATTTATGGAAACGAAATGACAGACATTTTTAATCATATCCCAAACCCAGAAAACTGTGCCGAAAACACATAATTCTTTGCCCATCTCACTTTCTATTGCGTATTTCATGGTATAAGGAAGTAACAGATGATGATCTTTCTTTTAGAGTGCAGACTAATCATTCTGACGTCAACAATTAGGAATCCAAAGTCACATATGAGAGGAGGCCTGAGGCTGCAATTTGTGCACTTGCGAAGATGGATTTCATAACAAAACCAAAATCAAATGTGCTATTGTTCTTTGGAAAACAGTAATCCAAATACTGTTTTTCTTTGGGAAACCTCTTTCCCATTTGAGTGTTTGACACCCAGATATGAGCAGCCAGCTTCCCTTCATGAACTCAGCTGGATCAACAGGTTCAAATGGAAAGTGGCACTAAGTCTGCTAAGCACACATTGTTGACTTCCATAGTAAGTTCTGCCACCGCTGTCTTCCTTGGGAAACTATTGAGAGAATTTTCTCTCCTGGAGAGAGGTGGATTCTGGAAAGAGAATGGGAAATCTATCACGCAATACTTTTCATCTGAAGTGTCACCTCCTGAGTATGCAGACAGATAGGTTCTTCTCACCCTGGATATGAGGTTCAGAGTTTATCTATCTGCAGAATATAGTAATTCTTTACTTTACCAGCCTAAAGATCATAAATAGCCACTACGCCCAAAATCAGCCACACTCAATGAGGTATTTGCAAGGATTACAGGTAAGGACTACAAGGATATAGCAGGTGTAAGGGGCAATATCCAAAGGGAAGTCTGTCTTTATTCTGAAGACTACCTCTCACAATACCTTTGTGTAAAGGAGAACATGTTCCCAGCCACTTGAATAAATACTAAGTTAATGGATTCTAGAGAGAAAAAAAGAACAATACAGTAATTTTCATAAGAGAGTCAAGCAACCCACTTTTTTTCTTGTTTTATAATTGTAGTTTGTACAAGGACTAATCTAGCTCTATTATCTCTTGGAAGGCTGGAAGAATAGAAAAATCCTTAAGGAGCCCCAAGCTGCTTTCTTCTTCAATTGATTTATGTTCTCTGATCATCCTAAGTGGAATTCTCTTTTTCTGCTCAACAGGCTGAGCCACTGCTCCAGGGCATGACAGGACCTGCACCTGCTCTCATAGACAACATACATTAACCCCTTTCTTTCTAAAATATCTTTTGTACAACCCCTTTCTTTCTAAATATCTTCTGTACAGCCTATCATAAATATATATTAAAAAATACCACCCACCCTTAAGTCCAAATCTAATTTCAATTGAGGTGCCAGTTAGTTTATGATCAGAATAAGTATACCTTATGGCAACACTACTGGACATTAACAGTCTTGGGTTTAATAAATCAAATTTATATGTGACAATCAACATTAAACAGCACTAGATTACCTTTACAAGGGGATTTGCTACCTTCCATAACATGTAAGAGAAATCAGATTTACTTTGGTATGTTTCAAGACTGAACAACACTGAAGAGAATTTTGAAAAACAAAAAGTTTCTGTTAAAGCATCTGTTATAGCATCCTTTCGATAATAAGCAAAATATTTTTAAAAAATATGTTAGCTGAAACAAAACTTGCCAGGAGAGAAACAAAAAAAAGCTTTTCTATGCCGTAACACTGTTTCACTAAAGTTACTGTCTTCCAACAGGAGCCCTTGCTGCTCCCTTTCTCTTACTGTTTGTTTAAATCTCAGGTAAAGTGACTCACTCTCTGGGAGAAACTCTCTCTCATGATTCATCCAGGAGGCTGATAACCCCAGGCTTGTCTGAAGTTCAGTGAGAGGAATCCCAGCAGAATTTCTAACTGCATTAGGGATCAAAACCAGATTTTAAGGAATCAGGATTATATAGGTTTCAGAAATTTTCTTTTTCCTCAAAATACTTTCTTAAAAAAAAAAAATTGTAAAAGTCACATACTGCAACTAATATTAAGCTAACAACATTTCACATCTCTTAGAATGCTTTTTTACCTTATCTGTATTTGCCTGTTTGGGCTAATTTTCTTTTGAGAGGACTAGTAAAGCTCCCATAACTTTAGCCAGAAAATAATACAGATCTTTAATATCCTGGGACCAGAAATATATTCTTAATCTTAAAAACTGTAAACTTCTTGTGACTTGAGCCAAATGCAGTTTTAAGTGTTAATGTTATTTTCAGATACAGTCTGTACAGTTTTTTATTATGTATAACAGTGCGTCTCAACAAAAATTATGGGATATAGATCAGTTCATCTGCCGCTTACATTTTTAGATAAGGTGTGTATTTGATCTATAATTTACTTATTTAATTTCTTTCGTGTCTCTTATTTCACTTTGCAATATTTTAGTTTGATTATTGATATCTTCTTAAGAAAAATAAGTAAACTGCTATTACTTCTATTTATTGCAGTCCCACTTCTGAAGTTATGGAGTTGCAATACTGTGGAGTGTCTTTTGTGTTTATAATCTTCAAAGTATAAATAGGATCACTGGTAAAGCAATACAGGTTCTAAGCACCACAATAAAAGCAAGTTTCAGTTTGTAGGAGCACAATAGAAAGATACTTTGTATACCATAAATAATTCAGTAAGATATTTTAATAGTTTCAAATAATCTTTGAATATCTTTGATAATTCCTTCCCCTTATACCAGACATCTGTGATTAGAGGAACCTACCTTGGCCTAGAATACATGAGAAAAGGAAATGGAGGCAATGGAGGAGTAATCATTAATATCTCATCCTTGGCAGGTGAGAATATTTTCTGCAAAACGCTTCCTACTACTTTTTTTTCTAAAGTAAATGAATCATACTTATCAGTTGTATTTTTTCTTCTTTCTTATGGCTCTTCCCTGTTTATTTTTCCATGTTTATACTTATTTTGACCTGGTTTTCATCATAGCAACAGAAGCATATCAAATCACTACAACTTTCATTTGCTTTTTTAAGCATAGTTCAACAGAAAAATCAGTAATTTTCCTAACCTATTGGTCTCATATTTAAAATCTTGTGCATGATATAAATTCCTCCATTCAATTCCATAGGAGCACAGTTGTAGGAATATCTAAGACTAGACTGTATCTACTTTACTAACGAAGATTGTCATACACCATTCTGTTCCAAGTCCTCTCAAATGTGATCTACTTGAGCTTGAGAAGCCATAAAATTAACATATTTCACTGAGCTTAAGCAAGTGTTTTCTTTGCTCACTCTTTGTCTATGCTATAATTGTGTTTCAATTTATCAGCATAAAAATAGCATTATATGGGTCAGAGTTATTGCTGCTCAGTTGTGAGGCAGAATTCTGCACCACTTCCTGTGGTACACTCAATGTTGCAATGACTGGGTTCACAGCAAAAAAGCACAGCTGAAGGGGAAACTATATATGGACAATGATGTCATCTGACAACCTTCCTCAAAAAATGTGTGGGGAAGTACTTGCATTCTCTCTTTTTCGTTTGAAGAGTTTGTTCTCTCTTTCTACTGTTATACTGTCTGGGAAAAATAATATATATGCTAGTTTACACTTGGATTGTCAGAGCTTTCTTTGGTATCTGTGCAGGTTACCAAATTAGAGCAATTTTATTCCAAGATATTCCTATCTGTCTTAACAATGAAAAGCCATTTAAGAGCACTGGCCATAGTTACTGACTGTGGATAGGTGTGGATGTTCTAAGTATTAAATTCTCCTGTAAACCTTAGCTTTTGTGATAAAAAGTCTAGTTCACCCTATTAAGATAATGCATATGGATCTGGAGGATCTGACTTAATACATGCACATATCTCATACGGGTGAGAGGTTCTTTATTAAAAGCCTCCGTGTACTTTTAAGTCAGCATTTGTAATACTGCCTAACACATTGCCCACTGACACCTCTAAGTTTATCCCTATTGGCTCGAATGGACATTGTATGGGGATCAAATTAACCTGAAGGAACTGCTGTTGCAGTACAAGAGTTCATCAGCACAAGTAAAAGATTAAACATTTTCACAGGAACACTGGTGCTCAGGCAGTGCTTAAAAAAGGGCAGAGGTAGCAAGTAGTTTGATTCCTTTTCTAAATAGTCTCACATAAACACAAAATGACTTTGTTTTTAAGACCTAAAAGCTTGGCTGTTCTGTTTGTAAAGAGCTTGTAAGAGCTGTTTTAATTATTTGATTAAAATTTGCATTTATTTACTTAATTTTTTAACATTAACATTGTGCCATTATGATTGTGGGTATCTGACAAAACAAAGTGTTCTTTGTTTTGTTTTCTTTTACATGGCTTGTATTTAGGAATTGTTTCCAAGGGCATAAGAAGAAACACACTTTAAAAGCTAACATATACTAATATTTATTGCTTACTTATTTACTACTACTTGTGCTTTATGACTCTAATTCTCCTTTCCAGTTTGAAGGTCTAGGTCCTGTAGTTTATTCCATATATGAAAGGCAAACTGCCATTGGCTTGCTTACTATTCTTTTTCAGTGTTTTCTTAGGACTAGCTTCTGTTGATCACTAAATTTTTGAGTGGCTTTGATCCCCCCTGTGCAAGTTCTCTATAAGATGCAGACAGCAACTATTCCTGTGCCTTGATGAGCAACAAAAAGAATTGTATTTAGTGCTTACATAACATTCAATAATATTTGCTTTACACATTAATTAGTTTCCAGTTCTCCGCCATGGAAATTTTCCCAATGATTTGGACTAGGGACAGAATTAAGCCTTACAGTTTTACATTTTCAAACACCCATGGAACTACTTAAATGCTTCCTATGAAGTCGATGCTTAAAGTGTTCATTCAGCTGGATTAAAGCCAGTGTCCACCCTGTCTTTCCAGTACTGGGTCTTCCTTTCTTTAGTCTCTCCACAGGACAGGACTAGGTAAGAGAGGGAGGCAAATATGCAAGCACACGCAGCAAGCACTCAGCTGTGTCTCAGATCTATAAATCTGATTGTTATTGGATTTGTGTATTCATATCAAGAAGTAATGCTCCTAAACTGAAATAATGAGAAATGTATTTTACTTCTAACTTGGCCCCATAAAAAATAACTCTAATGACTGCAGGGTTTTGTACTGAAAAAATTATTTCAAATTTAAGGAGTAAAATGTTCTAAAATTTCTTCTGTAGGAAGCTACACATTACCTTTATTTTGTTTAATGGAATAGTTACAAGCAACAGAGAAACCATACAAAATTAAATTTAACTCAAGAGATTATTTACCTGATTAAATTTAACATTGTCTTCTACCTTGTGGTGGCTGGTACCTTACACTTTTTGCAAGTAAAGGGAGAAAGAAAGTCATGCATACACTTTTGTCTTGGTAGCTTTCATATTTTGAAGAAGGTATTTTATAAAACTGAATTTGTATCTGTCTGGATTCTAGCAGACAAAAAAACCTTCAGAGTTTTCATAGAGGCTTAGAAGTGGTAAAATTTTTAGCACATCACCAAGATTGAGAGGTTGTTTGATATGCAATGAATCTGGTCACCTTTCTGTTGTACAGTCATATAAGTGCTTTGATTGTACTCTACTTTGAGCACTCAGATTCCACAAGCAGCTCATTTGTCCTCCTTTTATATGGAAAGCTTCAGCCCAAAGAAATACTTAAAGTACCCATCATAGCAAACAGGCTTTAATAGGACCTGATTCTATATATATTACAAGAACAAAACTAAGAATATTGTTAACATCACTGAGTAAGGACTGTATCACAGTGGTACAGGGAAGCAGAAGTGCCAATGGCTGCACAACCGGGGCCTTAATTTCACAATCATGAAAGAGCTTCTGGTCCCTCCGCTTTATTAAAAGAAGGATACCGAGCAGAATCCAACACAATGAGGTTAAAAAATTTAGAAACTATTCCCTTGAGACTTCAGTTCACTATTAAAGGAATCATAGAAATGGCACAGCTTAGAATTTCTGCTAGGATTGCTGAGTGTCTTTTGTTTTGGCACTCAGGAGGACTGCTAGGATGTCATGAGGGTATACAGGGAAAAAATCAGAAGGGCCAAAGTCCAACTAAAAACTAAAAAGGTTAATAAATCTTATTCAAAGAGACTTGTTCAAACCTCTGAAGGCAATATGTGTTCAGCGGGAAAGTATAACTGGGGAAAAATGCTTAATTCTGTTTTCATCAAAGTTCTTCAGCAGACTGAAGGGAAATTTCAGTCTCAACAAAGCTTACTGATAACAATACAAACTTATTGATACAACTTTCCACCTCCAGTACTAATTTCTCAAGATGTGGATATTGAAACTATTGACCATGATAAATAAGGCATTGGAGTGAGAAGCCTGACACCATGTCTCCAATGGTAGAATGATCTTGCCACTCTAATAACAAGGGGACTAGAGTATAAGCAAGGGCAAGAGCTGTCTCTGTCAACCTGCCAGCAACTGAGAAAAATAAAAAAAGAGCAGTTAACACTGGTTTTGGTAAACCAAAGAGCATCTTGAGTCAACATGAAATCATTTGCAATTCACTGTGCAGCAACATCCAGAGAAAGAAAAACGTAGGCATAGCTGCCCCCCCTTGTTAGGAGAGATTAAAACACACATATATCACTTTCCAGAAGTACACTAACCCATCCATTTGAACACCCTCCCCTTCCTCCCCCCATTATTTTGTGCATAATGTTCTCCAGTCTGTTTCACAGCTGTTCTGCATTGCATAAGATAATTAAATATTCATGGAAGGAGCAAATAGAATCCAGATATTCTAACAAAAGGATGTCCTAAGTAATATGTTATGAACTCATCTTTTCTCACTGCTTGAATTGAGCAGGCTCAATATCACACAGTGGTTCATCACAAAATACTTGCTAAGAAAGTCCTTAGGACACATCACTAACAAGTTCAGCTCTTTCCAGTGCAGGGAAGTGGCTCAGAACTGGAAAGCCCACACCATGGTTCTCAGCACCAAACTCAGGAAGAAAAGTAAGACAGGGGCTGTCATTGTTTTGTGTGAGGGGTGCTAGGACTAGTCTTAGCTGCTTGGGCTGAAAATGAGTCAATTGATTATTTCTTCGTTCTCCACTTCAGCAAAAATAATAATTTCAATTAGAAAAGAACTGGCTTTTTAAAAAAAATTATTTGTTCCTCCCTTTCTGCTTAGTTATTCTTGCTGTCTTTGCCATTTAAGTCTTTGAACCTTATTACACTTCATTATTGTGAGCTGTGCCCTTCCTTTGTTTATTTCTTGACTTTGTTTCTCTTCCCTCTCAAGTAAAAAGTAATTTGCCTCACTGGGCTTAAAAAAATAAAAATAAAATTACCTCTAAATTCCTCCTCTGTGTCTCTCACTAAATTGTGTCAGTTTTATTTCTGTTTGCTGCAGCCTAATTGGAATTTTTTTTATCTAAAGCGTGTAAAAATACTTAAGAGTCTTTTTAAAAATAGTGTTATAATATTTCTAATGTGCTACTATTCCAATGCTTCCAATAATTTGAAGAATGGTGATGATCATCAAAATTCAACAAAAAGAGGAATATTAAGCCTGTGTTGTGATCACAACCCACAGGAGACAACACAAAAGCCATTTTCATAAAGTGAGTTCTCAAGCAGAAGTTTAACACATTAGTCCAAACTAAGCAAATAAATACAAGTTAAAGAGAACAACCAGCCACTAGGTTTAGTTCTTCACTTTGCACTATTGAACAGTGCTAATAACAGTCTTGATTTCACTGGATCACCAAGGTAGCATATAAACCAAGATAAAACCTTGAAACTTTCAGGTTCATAATTAGAACTTCGTGCTGTCTTAGAAAGTTTTTTTCTTTAGACAAAACAGATTCCAGAGCAAAGAGCCCATGCAAGTCTCTGGCAAACATATTTTTTCTGGCAAATCCATATTTAAAGCTGGGTAGTGAATTCCTCATCTCCACTGAGATAAGTCCCACCCCTTCTTGAATGTATCACTTAAAGATATGAAATATGAAAAATGAAAGTAACCATACTAGACGTGAGTTATTAATTGAGATGACTTCCAATAGAACCAAACACTAAGGCATCAAAATCACTATCCAGTTTTACAATGGCACATTAAGGAACACAGACTAATTTTATCCTCTAATTTTAGGACAGGCTGAAGTTTGCTATTCATAAGGACATAGCTTTCAGGTGAAACTACAGTATCCATATGGTCCAGTTCAGCTTTCATTGTACAGTGGAAATTGCTGGCATAATGGGCAGGAATGAATATGCACTCATGATCTGTCATTTCTTCTTGATTAGCTTCTTTGGCCATCAAACTCAGTCCTACTAGAACTAAGTTCTTAATTTTCCTTCAAAACCTCTGTTCTCTCTTCTTTTTCTATTATAAATAAAAATTTCTGCTCTCCCCCTCTCACCATCAAGATTCACAATGTTAGCAGTCATTTTTTATTTTGCTTCTCCTTTTCCCACACTTCCTCTCTGAAGTCACTGTAAATAAATGCAGGTGTCCAGTTCACATCAGCTAGGGTGTTAGAAATCAAAGCTTATTTAAAATACTTCACAACCTTTATATGCTTAAATACTTTACTAATTCATAGAACATGACTTAAAAATCTCATTCTTGAGTGTTTTCTTCCAGATCCTGTCCTCTCTTCTAAGTCATACTTCATAAATAAAACTTTTCCTCTTAAAAGTTACACTTTCTTTTATTTCTTTTATTACTGTTCTTTTGACTCTTTGTGTTTTTATCCAATATCTGTTCCCAGCCTGTCTCAGATTATAAAATATAATCTGCACATTTTTACTACTCTATTTTGTTGTATCTCTATAAATATATCATTTTTTTTTTACATTATATACCTATATGTGTGTTTAAGGTAATCATAAATGGGAGTTCTCAACATCTTTATTCAGCTATCTTTTTATTTTAAAGGACTCATGCCTGCTGCATTTCAACCTGTGTACTGTGCTACAAAGCATGGTGTAATTGGATTCACACGATCGATAGCAGTAAGTATGTGTTTTGGAAAAGAGTATCAGCAGCTCCTTCGGAACATGCTGAAGTTTTTCACATTCCTTCTTATAGCCACACAACTGGAATTAATTTTCTGAAAGGAAACAAAGTGTCTGAAGCAGTGGAGGTTCCCTCCTTTCACAAAGGCAATCCAAAGATGAAATAAGTATGGCGGCCGTGTGTTTATGACCGATTTGAGGTTTTGGGAGCATGGAAGAAAGATGTTGCAAAGTAATTTAAGGAGAGAGGGAGGAGCCCAAAAGCCAAATTCTAATCCAAGCTTTAAAAATTTTTTCAGAACCCCATCCCAGTCACTTAACATTTTGTTTTCCTTATTTGCCAGTCAGGTTGGTTACATTTTTTAATGATAAATAGGCACTAAAGTTTACAAAAGTGACTTGGACTCACCATTATTTATTCTTACTGAGTCTCAATACTCCAAAAAGGCAAAATGACACATTCAGGATGGGACATGTAAGATGACCATAAAGTAAGTCTCAGGCTCTGACTCCAAAACTTCCTAGTAAAATTGAACAAGCAGTGTAATAAAGTAACTTGGAGGGAGCAGATATGGTTACTTTCAATAGATTAATCTACTCATATAAGATTTCCAACCTGATTTCCAGAATTATTCACCTAAAATAATACTTTGGATATTTTATCCATATTTTATGCCCCCACAAATTTAACTTCTTTTTCAGATTAACCTTAAGAGAATAGTATGGATAAGTGTTTCATATACTACATTAAACACATCAAGAACCTGACACCTAGGCTTGCATTTTGTTTTTCTCATTATAAATATAGATTACACCATCTAAGTGCAAAAGTAAATTAGAGGAGACACTGTCTTTAAGTAACATAAGAATGTCAAGAATAAGAAGAATAATGAACATAGCGAACTACAGTATTTACCAGGGAAGGCAGTACAGCCTAATGTTGGGCTGGTCTGATACATAACATCTAGGACTTGATTTACTTTTCTCCCTCAGACCAAAAGGGCAGACTACCATACCATGAAAATGACATTGAGACTTGCATAATACCTGAAAGGATTCCTGTTAAATATTAAAATAAATAGAATGTAGCGTTAACATTTATGGTTATTCTTGAATATGTCATGTATAGTTCATAAGTTCTGTGCTAAGAAAGTTCATCCAGCATGCAACGCATGCCTGAATGCTGATCAGACTTCTCTGCTACATACACACTTTGGTAGAACCACAAATGAGGGCACAGAACAACTTGTGCGTCTTGCTTTCATCATGTTCCTGAACTACTTCCTGAAAAAACTAGTGCCTCTTTCCTGGAGTTCACAGGGACTTTCCTGTGGAGGTGCTCAGTGATAGCTTCATACATTGGCAGGGACAACAGAGCAACTGGAAAGGTTTAACATTACAGTTCTAGGCATAAAGACTAGATCCTATTTCTGTTGATGTAGCAAGGCAAATACAATCTTAGAGATACTGTTTCTTTATTGCAGAGTTTTATTTTAATAAAAAAGTTCATATATGCGGGAGGTTTTTTTTCTTGGTTTTGCTTAGAAGAGTTAACTCATCACCCTAGAATACTTTTAATGACATGCTAAGAGCACTAATAACAAAAAATATCAGGAAAAAACAGCTTCATGCAAATAAGAGTGTTGATTTCTTGTAGAATTGTTCTCCCAACAAAACAAACAGGTTTTTTCCTAGTAATCTAGTATGATTACTACAGGAAATGTGCTTCAAACTTAGTTTGAAACAAAACAATCAGTAGTAACAAAATCTGCTTACTAAGCAAGGCTGAAAAGTACTTAGTGTTAAATCTCATTATCTAAAAACTTACACAATACTGTCTCAAAATGTTGATGACAAACATCTAACCCTTTCTCTTTTCTAGTTAGCTGCTAATATGGACAACTATGGTGTAAGACTCAACACAATTTGTCCAGGATTTGTCAACACACCAATTCTTCAGTCCATAGATAAAGAAGAGAATATGGGACAATATTATTCATATAAGGATGAGATCAAAAATATGATGCAGTTCTATGGCGTGATGGAGTAAGTCAAGTCAGATACAGGCTTTTTCCCTTTTGTTCATGAGGAACAAAGACACACAATAGCACTTTTAGAAAAATTAAAATAAAAGGGAAATGCTGCCTCAGACAAAAGACTATCAAATGTGTTATCCTATAAACAAGGAAAAAAAGGAAGACATCTAAGGCTATTTTAACAGCACCACCCTCACAGTAATATATCCCCATATGCATTCCCAATTCCCAGCAAAATGCAAATCAAATTCCTAAGTTAAATACATTGTGTTTAGTTTTTAATAGACCTAGGCGTTCCCTCATAAATTTCTTTAATCAAACTTCTTGTGAGATACAAGGTATATAATTTGCATTGGATTTTCACAAAATTTGCCAGTGAAACAAGACAGAAGACCAAGAACTGAAAAAACTGGACTAAGTTCATAAAAGCACAGTAGCAGCCATTGTGCATCAGATCAAAGAGTTATCTGACCCATTACAGTATTGCCAACAAAGGCCAAAAGCAGACATCTCGGACAGCCTGTGAGAACAACACAAGCATAAAGTGGGTTTTTTTAACACTTTCTTAGTTTCTAACAATTGGCTGCTCAGATGCTTCTGCACAAAGGAAATGCTATGACTGTGTTGTTTCACCCATACTTTTCCATATGTAAAATACATTGCACCTATTGACCACAGCAAACTGCATGTGAAATTATCCTTATGCTAATTTGTATGTCAGTCCTGGTACAGAAACAGCAGAGCTGCAGATGATTGTGTAAGGATTACTTCTGTCCTTTTCCTGGCAGAGAAAACTTTGATAGGAAGTCCAGTAGCATTTGGATGTCCACAGGCGTTTATCAGAAACTAGAGCAAACAAATGATGATTTGTAAAGCAGCCACTTTACATGTATGTCCTGATTGAGGAGACTAAATATCTTTCCTGAAACACTCATACACCTCTGCTTTTCTTCAAAGTAAATTTGCTCAAACAAAAATTTGTTTAATTTTCAGGTTATATAGATTTACATTGAGTTTCTTTACTTGTCCTTTTCACATTTTATTATATCATGAATCTGAAATAACTTTTTTTTTCAGCCCATCAACAATTGCTGAGGGACTGATAACAATAATTGAAGATGATACTCTAAATGGAGAAGTAATGAAGATTACAGCATCCCAAGGGATTCATTTTCAGCAATACGGCCAAACACCTTTTCCATCATCAAAGAGATAAATAATTGTTTTGTGCTAATTACTCCTGGCTTTTCTTAAATATAAAAAGTTTTGAAAAGAGTAATTTTGGGGAAAAGGGTTAATGTTTTATCTAGAGCAGTAACAGTGTTCAAACGTTTGCTATAACAAAGGAATGGGCAAGAAAATCTGGTGTGGGAAGATGTTACCACTCTATTCTGATTATAAAAACACTAAGAAGATTATTTATTTAGTATAATAAACACACCGCTCTGAAGACTTTTTTTTTTGTTTAGTAATAGGAGCCACTTTTTTCATTCTGGTAGTTCTGATCTACAGACTCCAAGTGTATTTTGGTGGACCTGACTTATTTCTTAAAATTCTTTTCACTGTTGTGCCTACTTACATCTTCAATTCTTCAGACCAGGAATTCAATTCAGGAATCTAGCCCATAAGCTCTGTAAGGAGTTAAGAATTAAGAATTTACTTTTTCTTATGAAAATTAAGCAGAACAAGAGGCAAAATTCAAATTCCTCATATATATATACATATATATATGTATATGTATATATATATATATACATATATATATACATATATATAAGTATGTTCAAAATTAAAATTCCTGGTGTATATATGCACATATATATTAGTATGTTCCATATCATATAAGAAAGTACAGATTTTTATCTTCTTAGATTTTAGGTATTTATAAAATAATCTAGAAATATTTTTGTTTTCTTTTATATATATATATATTTGTGTGTTTGTGTGAATTTTCTCTCTCTGTATATAAAAGGATGAATACTTTGGCATTGTTTGAAATGTCTGCTTACTCATTAGATCATATTTTCCAAATGTTTAAATCTAATTTCTTTCCTGATTGATTAAAATATTAATTCAATCCTGAATAATCTGGGTCTTTTTCATGTTTTATACATGTCTGTTTTGGTTTCACAATACATATTCTGAGATGCAGCATGTCATATAGTGGCAATGAAAATAAAAATTGAGCTTCCTACCTCCTGAGCGCTACTGGACCTCCTGAATCCAGGTGAATCCCCAGCTACATTTATCCAACAAACCTAGGTACTCCATGGGTTACGTGCCTGACAAAAATAATTTTTTACATGGTAATTTAATTAGGTGATGACCTAAAAAGATTTAATAGCTCCTGAGAAAGCTAGAAAAAGTTAAAATTTACCCTTCTTAGGAGTACAGACTTTAATTTCACAGATCTTTTTTTCAGCATTGTATCTGAAATAGTGGAAATACTAGCACTTACCTTCTGTGAAGCTGGGGGGGAGAAGAAAAGAAACAGACACTCATACTTTGAATTACTCATTCTCCCATTTTTTTGGTTATGTTAGCACTATTTTTAAAGCCCATTTTGAATGCACACATGATGCTAGCCACACCTTTAACATCCCTGGCAGCATCTGCATATCCATCTGGACTGGAAAATACTATCTGATTTGATAGTATTAATTTCTACTTTTGTCTCAATAAAATGAGAGCATTTCTAATACGGGGCAGACTAGTGTAAAAGATGCGATGTAAACTTGAACTCAGCATGTGTTAGTTAGGTCCTAAAGCTGATAATTATATACCTCTGTATGTCTCCTTGTTAAGCAGTATTTCAAGATAGTTTATAAACAAGTGAAGGCTTAATAATAGTGATACTATATTCAAAACATGTAATGAGCAAACACCAGGCTAGGAGAGTAACTCAGCAGCTTCTCTTAGTAACACACCTCAAATAATGATGGGAATATCGTTGATGATATATTGCTGTCTTGACTGTTTCTGTTCATCTCTGCTCCTTGCTGCCCCAAAAGAAATATCTGTTAAATAGGGTGGGTTGACTTTCCCAAGGGATCCATGAAAGCACATGTAATTTAAGAATGTTAATAATAAGAGGCTAGAAGTCCAATATATGCTCCCTGGGAGAATCAAAAACAGAAAGATATGTAAAGTTAATTAGAGCTAATCACTTTAGACATTGCACAATTAATTTGTGATAATGCACTTGTAGAAAATTCTAATTCTATGAATCATCAGTATTCTAAGAGTAGATTCCATTTATGTGGTATATCAATAGTCACACAAGAAAATAACAGATTCATAAAATATACAATTTGACTCCAGGACACCTGGAAAATCTAAACCGGTATCTGGGAAACAATTTAAGTCACAACTTTTTGTATGTATAGGTCTTTTCTTCTGGTTTAATTTTGTAGCTCAAAAGACAGATGTTTTCAAATCAAAGCCATACAGAAAACTTCATGAAAGGCACATACTGCACTGATTTCCATTTGATAATCTGATAAGGAAGTCTCAGAATGCAATACATGCTCATTTGATCAAATAAACATTTAAACTAAAATAAATCTCAAATCTTTAGCACATCTGGAACTCACTGAAAGAAACACATACAATGAAGCAAAACCCTTGGTGCAAATTATAACGGAGAAAACCAGCCATCAAATTTCTACCTTTTAATTAAAAAGTGCCCCAAACCAAATATTACAGCTTTCCAGTTTCAGTTAGTCTGCATTTAAACACATCTGAGGGTTTTATCTGCACAGGAAGAACAAGTCCTACATATGTTTTGGAAGGGTTTCCTGTAAGACTTCCCCCCAACCTTTGGAAGTCTTCCAGTAAGAAAGAAAAAGAGCATATGTTTGATTTACAGAGAGAAACACCCAGAGAAGTAGTACGTAGAAAGATGAGTTAAAGGGAGAAAGTGAGTTTCATTTTTGCACAAAAATAGTTTTTAAACTTCATCTTAAGTTAAAAGTCTTGACATAATTCCAAGACTAAATTTATTTTGCCTGGGAGACCATAATTTTTAGAACAACTGTTCCAGTTTTGTAGGGAAAACACAGCCAAAAGGAAAAATAAATATTTTAAATGAGATACAATAATTGCCAAGAACATAAAATAACAAGTAATATTCTAGACTCAAATAATGATCATTATTTGGAATGAATACTCAATCCCATGTGACACGAGTTTACTTTTCAGTGGGTCCTTACAGTTTCAACTAAGATTTTTTTAAGGGTAAAGGATAAATATGACTAGTGAACTCCATCTTTTCAGTGCTTATGATCCTACACAAAAGTCCAAATCATAAGGCATTTCAAATGCTTTGTTACATGATAGTTTTACTTTATTTCTTTGTTTAATGCCTTGATTCAAGGCATTTAGAAGATAAATAACTACAATCATCAACATAATTATGTAGTAAATAAATTACATTATGTAGACATCAGAAGGACATGGAACTAAATTGTATTATGAGTATCATAAAAGCATATGGGTATTAATTTTATTATTGAGGGGGTGAGCCATGCAGTAACAAGTCCTACTTGTAGTTTCTTTAAATTAAGGAAGTCCTGATATGAGAGACTAGACTTTCCTCTTGTTTGGGACATAAGCTTTGCAAACAGTAAATCAAAAGTAAACTTTAATACATCCAAAATCTGATTTACTCTGAAATCTTGAATATGAGACTAATCTTTAAAGAAACAGCATTAGATGCTTAATGCTATGGCTTTTGGGCAGGATGAGACTCCTCTGAGAGATAATGATTTCCTTCCTCCAGTGTTGAACTCCTCTAAACTTTCTACACGCTGATGCTCCAGCTTGAACTTCCCTTTTAGCAAAGTCTATTTGCTTTGCATCAAGAGACGTTGACAGTTTTCAGCTCCAGAATGGGGCTGAATCCAGATGGTTCAATGAAAGTGAAGGATAGTACCATATGACTTGGATTTTTTTTCCCCTCCAGTACAGAAAGGAATAGTTTAATGTCAGGTCAAATTTTAAATTCTAGCTGAGAGAGACAGTAAATAAGAGTTTGTTCTTACTCTGAAGGGGACAGTAAACAGGAAGAGAACAGGTCAGGTAAAAATATATAAGAGGAAAAGAGGCTAAACCTGAAACATATTTAAAATAAGTAAATTAACCCCACTCTTTAAGTGGAAAACCATTACTATGAACTGTGGCCCAAATTTAAACCTCAATGTTTTTTGACTTGTATAGAGACAGTCTAACACAGTATTCTCAGGGACTCAGAAGATAAAATCAGGATCTTCACAATAAAAATTAACCTTAATGAAAAAAATCAATCTATTTCAAGCAATCATTCAGCAGTGAAGCATTTGCAACAGTTATATATACAGCTCCTTTTATTTTTCACAAGCTCTGTGCTAATTCACTGCTGGCACTTGCTGGGCAAATCTTACAGAGATTATTACTACTGCAGAGGTGGAATTGATTTCTTGCTACAAGAGTTGTGCTTTTTCAACTTTCAGTTTCATCAGAGGGTTCCTAGCCCTCCTGCTTTCACACAGAAAAGAAGCTACACAGGACTTGATGATCATCTGGTGACAGGTCTGACATCTGGTCCCGGAATTCTGGATGGTTGAAGGCTCTAGATTTAGCATCATGAAGCAGAGATTTATTGTAGTGACATCCAAGAAGAATGCAAAAGATCTGTCTATTCCCTTATATGTCACCCTGGCCACTCCTCTGCATCTTTCCCCTGGACTACCTTAAACACAAACATTTCAGCAGTGAATTACACTCCAGCTACACCAAAACACAGCTGTGCCTCTTCATCAGTCACTGAGGACATATTCACATAAGACATCACTGATTTCAGGCAAATCATAAGGCCAGTTTATTAGTTCCTATGATGCTCCATGTCACAGAAGTGGCTCAAGGTATCTCAGTAGTATTTTTGTCTCCACAATGAGACCTTTCCTCAGCAGCCACAATCTGGAGAAAGTCAAGAAAGAATAGGAAATCAGGCTCTCAGTTACACAGCTTTGAACTCTTTACTCTAGGACATGAGAAAAAGCACACTTCTGCTTGCTTTCAGAAAAAAAAAAAAGAAAACACAAAGACAACTTTTAGTGCACTTTCTCACAGTTGCAAACAAAACCCAAAGAAGAAAAGAGGAAATACAGATATTTCTGGAACACAGGAATGTAAAACTTCTCAGAAAAAATAGTTTTATTTTAGCTCATCTAGCCATTTCTATTTACATAAATGACTAACACTTCAGAATTTTGAACAGCATTTGACCTTGAAGACTTCTTTCTGCAATTAACACTACAAGCAGTTAACTTCAAATACATATGAACAGTGCAGTTCTCAAGAAAGACCCAGAGATGGGCAGAGAATACTGAACTCTCTGCTACTTATTCTGGAACAGTTCTTACAAAAATGAATAAGCTTCCTTATACAAAATCCTTCTGGCAATTTCACTTCAAAAAGATATAGTGTTCTTTTACGGAGCTTTTATCTTTCTGTGCATTTGTAAATACACTGCCCTCAGCAATGCTTACAAATTAGCTGACACTTATCAAAACTACTGCTGCAGTCTTGATTTAAGTGAGTTACTATACTTGGCATGTATTAATGTAAGGTTAGGGAAAATGCAGATAGCATTCTTTTGCCTATCTATCTATATATATACACATATACACATATCTTCACATATATGTATCTATATATCCACACA